GGTGTTCTAGCTTTGTATTCAGTGTAGTTTTGGATTGGACTCTTTCTCAGATAAATGGAGAATTTGAGGATGTGGTGGTGGTGGTGGGGGAGTGTTAGAACAATCCAATTGACATTCGACCATGGCTTCCTCCAACTCTAGCCCGGTGGAAGATTTATTCCCTGGACGTCGGTATGATGGTGGGCTGGACTCTGGTTTCCACAGTGTTGACAGTGGAAGTAAGAGGTGGTCTGGAAATGAGGTAAGGGCCTCCCCAATGGGACATTGCTTTTCCAACCCCTAGGGAAGAAGTATTTTCTTCCCAGACAAAGAGATCCACTGTCTCTACTATCTTCCTATACCAGAAAAAGAGATAGATAGGACACAGGCACTGGGAGTTAAGGGCCTTTGTTTTTTATTGGACCTCTCATCATACACTGTCCAATTGTGATGTTGGGGGTTGGTCTCAGAGGCCCTCATTCTCCCTCTTTATAGCTGACAGATGAATTTTCGGAACTATCTTTCCGTATCTCAGAATTGACCCAAGAATCTCGGGGGCCTAGGGAGCAGAGGGAAGATCGAACAGGTGAGTGGAGCAGGAATGGCAGAGAATGGAGAGAAGATGGGCCATTAGTGATTCTGGAATGGGGAAGGTGGGGCTGGAGAGTTAGATGTTCCTTTGACCCTCTCCCTTGGCCTTCTCAGGTGATGGGGACCCTGAACAAATTGACTTCATAGACAGCAATGTACCTGGGGAGGAGGAGGAGAGAGGTCCTATTGAGGTGAGGGGGCCCCAGCTTTAGTAATGCCAGGGGAGATGGGAGGGCTGGGTGGGCCTTTGAGGAAAATGTTACATAACAGTGGGGAATGGGCATGGCAAATCTGTCAACACAACTAATGTGCACCGTCTTTTCCCAGGAGCAGCAGCTGGCAGGGCAAAAGACCCCAGAGATGGAAATAGAAAGGCCTCCTAGTGCCAGGTATCACTGCCCCAGTCCCATTATCAGCCCATTGCCCCTATATCACTCTAGTCCAGTCACTCTTCATTCTGCCCCATGGATGACCTTTCTTTTCTCCTTTGACTTTTCTCCTCAGTCCTCTCTCCCTTTGGACCCCATAGATGGGTACCCCTTTCTTGACTTCCCTGTGACCTTTCAGGTCGGAGGAACCAGCTGCGGAAGAACGTCGTCGACCAGACACTCTACAGCTGTGGCAAGATCGAGAAAGGAGGCACCAGCAGCAGGGAGGCATGTGGGGAGCCCCCAAAAAGGAGAGGTATGGACAAGGGTAAGACTGGTGCAGAGTGGGGGACATTGGGATGAGATAGGATTTGGTGATTGGCCACATTTGGATGGGGGGGGGTGGTAAGTGGAGTTAGAAGAAGCTGCCCTCTGTATCTCCTCCACCTGCCATAGGCCAGGAGGGCTTTGATCTGTTCTTGATCTTTCCCACCTTATCCCATTCCTCACTCTATGTGAATATTCTTCCAATGTGTATTTTCCATTTTCTGTCTGTTCGGTTTCTTTCTAGTTTCCTGAAACTGGCAAACAAAGGTAGTGGGGGAAGTGCTACCAGCATAGCCTCCTACAAGTAAGTCTTTTCTTCCTCATCTCTATTCTCTGCTCTCCCTTCATCCCTTCCCAACATATCATCTCCCAATTAACTCTCTCCCCTTAGCAATCCTTCCAAGCGAAGTGGCCCCCAGCCTGGAGCCCCTGAGCCCAACCCTGACCCTCACCATACAGCCTGTCCAGGTGAGATAGGGCACCTAAGGGTGAGGGGAAGAGGCATCTCTTAGAGGGTGATGGGATCTTCAGGAGAACTACTATGGACAGTGGTGGGATGGAGTACTACTTTAACATTCTCAGGTTTCATCTTTTCCCTCCTGTTATCCTTATATCCCTAGCTACAGGCCCTTCTCCCCAGCCACCTGGCTCCATCCAAAGACCAAACAGTTTCCTATTCCGTTCGTCTTCTCAGAGCAGCTCAGGTGAGTTGTAGGCCTGTTGAGCATCTTCCTATGTCCCTATGTTAGTCACTTCCCTTACAAATTTCTGCAATCTGGGATATCATCCTAGACATGTGTATCATATTTCCTTAGACCCCAGTTTCATTTTTCACAGAAGCTGATAAAAAAGATTTCAGTTGGAGTGTTCAGAGAAAATGTGAGGGAGGAGGAGAGTGTGGTATGAAGAAGGAAAAACAACCTTTTATCTTTAATTTCCTCCCCAGGCCCATTTTCATCAGAGCCTATTCTGAGACCACGACGGTCCCCCCAGGCAATGGACAGGGAGGAGTTAATGGCTCAACTCCGACAGGTAGGTCTTGCCTCTGCCTCAGAACCCCAAGTAGGTTTGGATTCTCTTCAGGGACCCAAGAATTCTGTTCCAATCTTGTTTGCAGGTATTGGGTCTCCCGTAACACCCACTTCATGGAACCCAAGAAACCTGTTCCTTGTCTCATAAGGGGGATAGAAAGGTAGAGAGCCAGTGATCTAACCCTTATGTTTCCTCAGGTCCTTGAATCTCGTCTACAACAACCCCTTCCTGAGGATTTAGGTGATGCTCTGGCTAATGGTGTTGTCCTGTGTCAGTTAGCCAACCACCTTCGTCCACGCTCTGTGCCCTTCATCCATGTTCCCTCACCTGCTGTGGTTAGTATATAGGGGGTGGGTAGGGTGAAAGAAAGAGGAAGGGTCTCTATTCATCTGTTGTTTCACCTCCAACTTCCTCATCCCCATCTCAGCCAAAACTTAGTGCTCTCAAGGCTCGAAAGAATGTGGAGAATTTCTTAGAGGCCTGTCGAAAGATGGGAGTCCCTCAGGTATGGAACAGGATGCTGTGGGAGCCTACAGGGTGAGGTGCATGCTGTGGAGGTGGGAGAGAGGTGCATGAGGGAGGAGAGCTGGGTGTGTTGCATGAAGGAAATGGAAGGGGTCCTAGGCCTCACCAGAAGAAAGCATGTCTGTATGGGAGAAAGCTTAGCCTGTGGGTTACTGCCAATAATCGTCAGCATGTGAGGGAGATTTGGGAGGGGAAGGTTTTGCTGCTGCTGATGTCTGTCTGTTCTGCTTCCCTGCCCTTCTGACCTACCTCAGGCTGACCTGTGCCTGCCCTCCGACCTCCTCCAGGGTACCACACAGGGGCTACGTACCACGATGGAGGCTGTGAAGTGTGGTGGGGGGGAGGGCCCCCTGCCCCTTGGGCTCTCTCCCAGCCTGGGTGGCTTCGTCTTATTCTACGTGGTCCTCATGTTCCTGCTCTATGTCACCTATGCTGGGCTCCTAGGCTCCTAGGACCCTGGAGTCTGAACATCCCCAAACCTTATGTGCCTATTTATGACAATTCCTTTCCCTACTACCCGCCTCCCCCCCAAATTTCACTGTGGGGACTTAGCTCAGCTACCCCCTTCCTATTCTGTCTGACCAATGATGCCTTCTGCCCTCACAAAACTGTACTGCTTCCCCTTTCCATATATGTATACAAAGACTTCAGAAGCCCTACACTGCCCCATCCCCCTCTGGGTCCTCACTGGGCCCCGGTCCTCATTCCCATAGATCCTAATTGTGGGTCCTCCACCTCTGGTCCTTGATTCTTCAGAGAGGCTTTGGCCCCCTGCACTCATATACTGGTCCCTCTTCTACCCCCCCCAACCCCTGGTTAAATTATCTTTATTTTGTAGAGAGATCACTATATTTTTAGGGGATGGTAGGGCTCTTGCCCATCTCCCTTTTTGTTTATAAACTGTATAGACCATGACCACTGTCTCTGTGTTTGTTGTGTGTATTTTGTATCTGCTCAGTTTCACTCTGCTGCCATCTTCCATTTGCTTCCCTTTTCTAGTCAATAAATAGGAAGTCTCCTGAGCCAAAAGCATTGCCCCACTCCATGGCCATCTAACAGTTACACTTTGAAGTGCCTTCCTCCAAATCTGCTTCAGATCTTCCCTCCAGAACCATTAGCATAGAGTTCTATCCCAATACTGTAATTAACAGTTGATGAGCACTTTGTGTTAAGCACTGACCTGTCTCATCCCCACAAGGCTTCTCTCCCATCTTTGCAGTCTATGTGCAGTGTCTGTATGCAGGGCTGGATACAGGTGACAGTGTTGGCTAAGAACAGAAAGGGAGAGTGGAATTAGCCAGGGTCTGAGGTCTAGTTTTCACTGTTCTGTCTCCCCTCCATTCAACCTGTGTCCTTTATTTAGTGACTTGGGAGGAAGTGGGCTGTCAAGGCTGAGTGAAGAGTGGGCCCCCAGGCCAGGCTTTGGTCTCTTATTTGCCTCTCTTGGAATGGGTGGGCTAGAGAAGTTAGTTCATGAAGACTAACCTAGAATCCTTCCTCATTTCCCCCTCCCCCCCAGGAGTCCCTGTGCCAGCCCCACCACATCTTAGAAGAGGAGGGGACCCCTGAAAAGGGCCTCCCCAACATCGTCACTGCTGTGCATGCCTTGCTGGAGCAGGCAGGGTCCCATGGGCATCCTTAGGAGAGGGGAAGGGGGAATGGGACAAGACATCCAAGAACCCAGTAACCCTTTTCCTTGCACCAGCAAATACGGATATCTTTAGATTACTGCTGCCCACAAATCGGTTGGATGTGGGATGGGGCAGAGGGATGTTCCTTTTGTCCCGTTTCCTGCCCCTGGACGCTTAGGTGGGTGGGAAGACCTCAGCCCTGGCCCCATGCCACTCAGGTACTGTTTCCGGGCTGTCCCTTGTGTAGGGAGCAGTAATTCCTACCAAAATCTTGTGGCTCCCACCACAGAACTCCCCATAGCCAGCTGGCTAATGGAAATGGCTAAACTGGATTCTAAGGGAAGAGGTCTGGGATGCAACAAGAAAGTATCTGGACTAAATCCCCCTTGACGCCTCAAGCTGTGTCAGGTTCCCCAATAAAGAATAGCCAGGAGCCTCCTGGGTTGATTTTCAGTTAGGCTGTCTGTGAATGAATGCCTGAGACCTTTTTTTTTTAAACGACTTGGGGCGCTTAGGGATATTCGGAGGTTTCTGGTGTATCCTGTCCTCCGACCATCTAACCTTTCGTCTCTACCTCTTCTCGGTCGGTTTCTCCAGTACTCATCTCTGCCCCGCCTCTCTTTTCTCACCCACCTCTGCTGTTGCCCCACCTCCCATCAGCGACATGTGACTATTCCCTCGGGGGTTCCCAGGTGGTAAAAGGGCTAACCTCTTGGTCCTGGCCTCTGGCCAGTCGCTCTTTTCTGGCCCTCTTTGCGGCTCTTCGGCCTCTCACCTTTTTACGAGTCCCCGGGGTGGGGGGAGGGGGGCCGCCTCTTGGGGAGTTAGCGCCTCTTCAGCACTTTTCGGTTTGTGGGGGGAAGGAGGGACCTCGGGACCCGCCCGGCACCCTCACCCTCTTCCTTTCCCAGGTAAGACTTGTCGGGGATTTGAGCTAGTCCCGGCCGGGGTCTGGGAGACCCACCTGGTGGGACCAACGGGGGAGGGCAAGGGATTGTTGCCCCAGGACTCCTGTAAAGTTTGGCTGAGGAAGCAGAGCCAGGGTCTGTGGTCTGAGGGAAACGGTGGGAACCAAGTGTCCAGAAAGCTGGAGGAAAGAAGGAAGATTGGGGGAGACAATATACCAGGTGGAGAAAAAGTTAGGAAGCAGGACTCGTGAGTGTCTACAGGGTGAAGAGGAGGTAGTCTTGCGTGCTCCTCCAGACCTAGCGTGATCTCCTGCCTTCCTCCTGGGGAGGAGAGGAAGATCTGGATAAAGACCCGTGTGACCAAGAAGGGAACTGTGGCTCTGGAGAAGAGTCTGGATGACACAGGGGTCCCTCGACCATACAGGTCAGTATGTGTTGGGGGTCAGGCTTAGAGGAATGAAGGGGAGATGAGAGGGAAGGTCTAGGAGAGCAGTGTAGTGTTCCTCTTGACTTTCAGTCCCCAGCCTGGGTCCTCTCCAGCCCCTCAACTCCACAGGGACCAAATTCAGCCACCAAATGCCATGCTTCACTTTGGTCAGCAGCTTCTGGGGGATCAGAGTAAGTACGCCAACATTTCCCATCCCATTTGGATTTTGACCTCCAGTGGAAACCCCACTTCTTCCTTACTTTGCCCTCTTCCTTTCTGGTTTTTGGCCTATTCTGATGTCAGTTTCTGTTCTTCCTAGCCCCAGTTCTCACCCAGAGTCTCAAAGAGGGGAGCCAGCCAGCTCCCTGGGAGCCCGGCTATGAAAGGGTGACGCCTATGAAAGGGTGACAGGGTGGGAGGGGTGGGCTGGGGCAAAAGAGTGGAGTGATTGTGGGAGGGAGAGGGTCAATGTTGAAATTTGTGATAAAAGTAAAAATCCTTTCCCAACCCCAGACAGGGATTTCTGGATCTGGTAACTCAATCTCCTTCAGAACCATCTGGCATCCATCCTTCTGTGCCTTGTTTGATGCCCAGGGCCATGACACCCAATCCCTAGCTCCACCTGAAGTAGAGGGGAATAGAGAGAGCCCCCAGAGTGATGAAGGTACTGGACTTCCCTAGGGAGGTTACAAGCCAGTGGAGATCCAGGCCAGATGTTGATGGACTGAGGGTGTCTTGAAAGTCTCTTCTTGGGAACTCCCTTAGGTTATTTCCCCCTTCAATTCAACTCAAGCATTTAGCACCTACTATCATGAGTGATTGTACTGTGCTGAACTCTGGGATCCAAAGAAAGCACCAACTACCGCTGGGGATCAGAGAAGGCTTTTTTCTATAGGAGGTGGCCACTTGAGCGGACCCCGAAGGAAACTAGGGATTCCGACAGGCAGAGGTGAGGAGTAGGAAGATACCAGGCATTGGGGACAGTGGACAAAGGAATGGAGGACAGCAACTAGACTGGTTTAGTTGAACTGCAGAGAGTGAATGAGAGTGGGGAGTAGTCAATCCAGAAAGGGTGGAGGGAGATTGTTTTATGAAAGGCTTTAAATTCCAAGTGGGAGTTTGTATTTTATCCTAGGGGAACAACTGAAGTTTCTTCAGCAGGTTTCTTCAGATCTGTGTTTTAGGAATATCAATTTGGTAGCAATTTGTTGTGTGCTTTGTATATTCATAAAGCGCTTTGCTTAAAACACTATATAAAAGCTAGCTAACTACTAAGAAAAATTAAGAAGTCTCCATAGAGCTGACATTTTGATGGCAGTGTAAGGGTAAAGGGCATTCTAGGCATAGGGCACAGCTTGTGCAAATATATAAAGTCAGAGCTATAACATCCAGTTCTGGTAACTAACTGCTGTTCAGTTTACCCAGAAAAGAGCCTGCAAAGGGGAATAATAGAAGTTAAATCTGGAAAGAAAGGTAGGATGTAGGCTAGACTGGAGGGCCTTAAGTGTGAGGCAGAGGAATTCATCTCTTATCCTAGAGGCAATTAGGAAACCCAGAAGGCTTTTGTGCGTCTTAGAGACTGTGTCCAAACTGTGCTTTAGGATTCTTTGGTTGTTGTTTGTAGAGGGGTGAGGCTGCTTTCAACAATTAAACCATTACAGTTGTCTCTCTGAGAGTTGTGTAGGGCCTGAATTAAGATTGTGGCTGCATGATTGGGTAGAAAGGGTCCAATTGAGAGAGGTTTAGTTAGAAGCTGTGGAATTTACCTACTGATTAGATTTGGGTGTGTGAAAGAGGGATTAAGGGTGGATTCAAGGTTAGGAAAGGATAATTACTCCCTACTCCTAGGTGTAGCTGGGAGGGAAGTGTTTTGTGAAACCTAAGCACTATATGAATGTTAATCTTTGTGTTTAGGTTTCCCAGCTCTCTGCTCAGAAGATTTCTTTTTCTCTGACCCTCTGTTGCCTTCCATTACCCGGATTCCGATTGGCCTGTCCCAACCTCCCCAACAGGTGAGAAGCCCTCCCTTTCCACCCAAGTCCCTGGAGTGGACTTGAATGAGGCCTTTACTGAGGGCTCAAAACCTTCTAGCTTTCAAGGATTCCTCCATGCTAACCCAATTATTGTTGTTTCTTCAGATTCTGAGAAGATCTAGGCAGCTTCTTGCCCCACCCCCCATAATGTCAGTCTGGACACAGCCAATCCCAGCACGCATCTTGACTTGGAGGTGTGATTCAGAGATAACAGCTGTTACCTGCCTACTTGAGATGAGCCAAGGAGAGACCGAGTCTACCCCTACTCCAGAGTCCTCCCTAGCCCCACCCACTCCGTAGCCCACCTAGCCAAAGGTGGATTATATCATCTCATCCCCATCCTATCCCTCTCTGCAATACTCCTTGAGCATTGATGAAGGCTACCTCTTCCCCTTCATCTCTCATTGCTATGTTACAGTATTGGGAGTGAATAACAGGGCTCCCTTTTTCTCTCCCCCCCTTTTGCTGTATTTCGTGTATTGCTGTGGGGCTGAATAAAGTGGGTAATGTGTGCTCAACTGTCTCACAGTCAAAATTTTTATTATCATTGCAGGCATTATGTTAGCTGGTGCTGAGGATACAAATACAAAGAGTAAGAATCCCTGCTCAAGCAGTTTACAGTCTAAACCAGGGGTGGCCTTGAGGCCGCAGGTTCCCCACCCCTGGTAAACTATTTGTGACATAGGCCAGGAAGACAAGTGGTTCCAATATGATTGTTTGGGGATGATAAATCATCCAGTTCCCCCACCTACCCACCCACATCAGTGTTCTATATTGGTGGCCATCATCACCCACCCCAGCCCTATCTAAGGGAAGGTTGGCATAGGGGGAAATCACTGTGGAGTACAGGTGGCAGGACAGGCTGGAACCAGTGCCATTAGTGTAGTCTAAGATAAAAGGTAGGTTCTGTCATATGCCTGGGGTCACTGCCCTGGGCAGACTCTAATGATGAAGGCCTTGTATGTTTACTGGGGGGGCCCCCCATTGGAACAGAGATAAGGGGAAAAGGCAATCTGGCCTCTCATTAGAGATTAAAGGGGGGCTGCTCCCAGAGTTACAGGGTACCTCTGTGTAGGCCTCTCTAGCTGTCAAGGGAGAAAGAGTCTTTCAGATTCCTCCCTGGCTCAAGGAAGTTCCTGCTAGGAATTGAGTGGAGGGACTGATCTATTGATAAGAGATAGGCGATTGCACCAGGACATTTGACTTTACAAAAGTAATTGTAGATCTGAGTGTGGGAAGAACATTGCAGGAATTGGAATTTGAAATAGCAATTTGGAGTGGGTTGGGAATGAGGAAGCACCTCTGGAGAGTTGCCACAAGAGAGTTCCCAGTGTTCTTGAGAGAAAAAGAAAAAAGACTCTTGAGATATCTATATATGTGGGCAGCTTTTTTTTAGATGCTATCTTTCAAAGATGAAATTACTGGATTCTGAATGTGCATTTTCTGGGTCTTTCTGTCTTTAAGATTGCTCAAAATGAGGCAAGCAGAGGTGGGGGGCAGCTACTGAGGGATTAACTCAGTGACTTTACTGGGGAACCACAGCCTAAAGGGATGACTACCTGGGGAAAAGGAGTTAAAGCTAAATGTCTTTAGTTCCTGGGTCAGTTGTATTGGGCACTACATGATTAGTGCATTACACAAATAGCCTCCCCAACCCAATCCTCTTGTAGCCCAACAGCTGGAGAAGACAGTTGACTCGGGGCCACATTCATCACTTTGGCTATAAGGGGATGAAGGGTTAACAAGGGCCTGCACACTCACCCTCTCTCCTGGGCCTCACCAAGTTGTTTCTGTGCATAGCTATGGGGATGCCCTCACAGGGGACCAGAGGATGAACCTGAGCCTGGCTGCTTGCCCTTCTTCCTGCCCCCGATCCAGGTCGACCTAGTTGAGGTCGCCTTCTCAGTTGGTAGTGGAAGTTCTCTTCCCAGCCAGCCCCCATGGCGATGTATTCTGGACCTTCGATGCCTACCTATTCTCCTGCTGGCTCCAGAGCCCAGGGGTTTGTCACTTTACTGGTATCCCGGTGACAATAGCTGTCACTGCACTCCAGTGGTGTGCCAGGGGGAGGCAGCTCTATTACACAGTGCTGGCTGGCACTCTGAGCAGTAGGGCAGGGAGCTGGAGTTCCTGGGTTCCTGACTACAGGATACAGCATTAGGAAGTGATGTGCCCCTCGAGGGCAACTCCATCATCACGGACCCCTTGGCCTCCCACAGACAAGTAGTTGCCTGAGGCCTCCAAGTGGTCCCCAATACCACTTGGCTTCAGCGGTACCTCTATCCTGAGGGCATTGCTCCAGCGGTGACCCTCTTCTTGAGCCTGCACCCGGGGTGACCTTCCTTTTGAGACACACCCTAGGACCTCAGGGCTCATCCGAATACAATCATGGCCCTGGAGAACTTGGGCAACGAGAGTTTTTGGAGACTTCGGGGCAGACCGGTGCAATGATTTCGAGGTCCCCGCAGGAGCCGCTTCATGTTCTAGCCCGGTCCCACCAAGCCGATTTATAGCGTCCAGCAGTCTCACGTATGCTACAAGTTTGGCCCGTTGTCGGGTGCTTGCAGCGACAGCTCCCTGGACTCCGTGGGAGCCGATCTGCTGCAGGCAAAAGGGGTCCGTGTGGCCACAACGCCGCAAGTTGAGCAGAGGCAGCGAGAGGGCAGGAGAGGTATGCTGTCATGGTTTCTGGATTCCCAGGTCTCTCTGCCTTCCCTCTGCCCGAGTGCCCTGGACCTCTGATAAGCTGGTAACAATCTCAGCCCAAGCTATGTATGAGGTACAGCCCTAGTCCTTTGGGCCGAAGGGTCACTGGTCATGCCTCCTGGCACGCAACAGGGTCTCGGACCCTGCAGTTCTGTAAGCTGGAGGGAATGAAGGCAACGGGGAGTCAGAGCAGAAAAACATGAAAGACACTTGTAAAGGGGTTATTTCTGCAGTGAGTGCTCGGAGAGAGGGAAAGAGGGATCTAGATAAAAGGAACCCACCGATAAAGGGAAAACCATTTCCCTGCAACCTCCCTGTGTCTAGACTTCTCCCCCTGGTGGATATCCCAGACCATCGTCCGGGGCTCCCTGGACCTCTTTTATTCCCTCCCAGATCCGACCTCACCTGTGCTGGCGGGCGCTGTACCAGGTCAGCTGCTCGGCTTCACTGGCAGCCACCACGCCCAAACTGCTTGTAGTGTGTGTAGAGTATGACAAGGTGGCCCAGACGCGCATTGGCGCACTGGTACGCGCCCGCCAAACGCGCAGCCAGCGCGCACTTTCTTCTCACTCTTGGAGCACTCTAGCTGTGGAAGGTCTGCGTGGAGCCGCTGCGACTTTTGCTTCCACAGGTGGCTGCAGAGCTGGCTGCACATCAGGATGATAGAGCCAGGGCCGCGAGTCAGCAGACCACTGAGACGCCGGAATCCTCTGGCTGCTCTCACCAGCCCTAGTACCTCACGCCCCCAACTCCATCTTCTGGGCCCAGGAGTCGAAGAATCCTTGGCTTGGAGGCAGCTAGGGGGAGGGAGGGCGAGGGAGTTAAGTGGAGGTGAGTACTGAGTATTGTATGAAACTTGCAAGCACTTTGCCAGGTGGGGCAGAGTCCTAAATGAAGCCAGTTCCCCGCTGTTTCCCCAGGACTGGTGGACAGGCTAGCCCCAGGACAGCTCTAGCCTGGGTCCTACGCCGTCTCCTAGCTTGCGGGGGGGCACGGGGGGGGTGTTTGAGGGACGGTGGCACAGCGGTGCCTGGGGTTCCATAGGTCGGCGCTGTCTGCTTTCTCTGTGAGTTTCTTAGAGCCCCTGAGCTGCCTGCGGATCTCGTAACTGGTGTGGACCCTAAGGCTCTGGTTCCTGTGGGAGCCCGGGGGACTGCTACCTAGGCGGCTCCTCCTAGCGTTTAACCCTCAAAGGACCGGAGTGAAAACAAGGCTAGGGGGCTGTGAGACGGCATGCTAGGAGTTTGCCAAGTGGGGGAGAATTGGCCGGAATCCGAGACAGGGCATTCGCGGGCCGCGCTCCTGCCAATTGCCAGGAGTCTCTATCTGGGAGGGCAGAATCTCGGGAATTTTGTCAACTGGGATTTAGCCCGAGGTGTTTTCGGCCGCTGGCTAATCAGAACTTCCTTAGACAAGTCGCCCAAGCTCTGACCAATGGGCGTTCGCCGCCAGTATCCCTCTCCCTCTCTTTTCGCCCCGCCCGCGTTGACGTGACTTGCTCCGTGTAGATCCTGTGGCGCAGTGGAAACTCGAGCTCCGCTCCGAACTGCCCCACCCCGCCCCTGCCCCCATCCCCGCCGCGAGCCGTCTTACTACCCCATCCACTCCTCCGAAGTAACTGTGGAGGCTGAGGTTAAGGCGTGTATTCAGCTGTATTAGTTGATTGTAGTTGGGGGGGGGGGTTTAGCGTAGCTTTTATTTCCGACGGGTGACGGCCCGCAGCGGCCCCCAGGTGTAGGCCAGGCCCACGAGGACCCCTGCCAAATGTCCGCTGAAGGAGATCCTGTGGAGGAAAAGGAGGCTCTTGGAGGCGGCTTCTCGGTGCTTCTGCCTCGAGGCTGGCCTTCGAATGGGCTCCCGGGATCGTTTCGTTAGTTAGAGCAGTGGATGTTAATCGAATATGGACCTTTTTCTAAGAGTAGTTTGGTCACAGAGGTCACTGGGCTCCTGAAGAGCAGGGAGTCCTCATAAAAGGGTGGGTCAGCAGATGGTGCAGAAACTTAAGACACAACGTGGTGTATTTAAAAGCCCACGGAACCAGTATCGGGAAAGCTGCGTTGTGGCCCCAGGTGCACCATACATTACCTGTGATTATGGGCACATTAGGTCACCTTTCGAATACATAGCCTCTGAATCCCCAGCCCAGGGGCCACACTCACTTGGGGGCGAAGTAGCTGGCCACCAAAGATTCTGCCAGGCACAGCAATAGGTCTCCCACAAGGGAGTTCTCGGAGCTGGACATCACCTGCATGGCAAACAGGACGCCTTGGGAGTGGAAGGGAAGAGGGCTCCATGGGTTTACTACTCTCCAGGAGCCCCAGATTCTCTTCCCACCCCCTCCCTTTTTCAAAAGAAAACAGATGAAAACTCCCGGCTCCACAGCAGGAGGGGGCTACGTTTGACATGAAGTTCCCTCTTTCGAGAAACATAGTATAGCTAAAGTGAAGCAATTTCTCTGGATGCTCTAGCTTGGGTTAGTGTGGAGGACCGGAATGACTGCTCTATCCAGAACTTGGCTGACCTGAGCAATGGAAGATAATCCCCCCCCCCCATGATACCACCCTTCCCCACCACCCCGGGGATTTTCGCTCTCGCTTGAAGTGAGGTTTTCCTGTCCCTCTTGTACCGGAAAAGCCAAGCGTACAGCCAGCTCGGTAATGACTTTCTTGGAATAGCAACTCCATGACCAAGTTGAGAGCAAGGTGAAGGAAACCTGCGAACAGGGCAGCAGAGAACACCAGGACTAGGAACATGCCTGTGCCCACAGACTGTTCCATACGACGCCCAGTCAGCCACAGTCCCGCCACATTGCAGGCCAGGTGCCAGGGGTTCTCATGGTGCACGGGAGCCAGCAGCAGCAGCCACCAGAGCTTAGTTGTATCTACTGAGAGGCAGGCATTGCTGGGGTCCACCAGTGGCCATAGGAACAGGCTTATAATGAAGAATATGGTCCCTACTGTGGCTCGGGGCCAAGGTGCTGGCCCCTTTTGTGGTTTTGCAAGCAGCACCATAGGTGGCGGGAGGGAACATAGAAATTAGGGAACTCAAAGCATTTCCCTCGTGTCACGTCAAACTCTTCCCCTCTAGCTTTCACTTTGCCGGGTGGTCAAGGTCCTCCCTAGCCCCAGATCTTCCCACAGGGACCCAGGTGCCCATTCCAATTCCCCCTATTCCCAATCATGTGAAGAGGGTCCCTCCCCCAGACCTCTATTCAGTCTGCTCCTTTGTGACGGCAGCTGTGATTCACAGATACCTACCCTTGAGTCTGGACCCCTCTGAGCAAGGAGCAAGGTGTCCAAAGGGGCACTAGGCAACTAGGGTGAAGGGACAAAATTGGGTGGATGAGGAACCAGAATTAACGGGGCGGGGGGGGGGGGGGAACATTTGGCAAGGTAAGCGAAATTAACCCCGGGGGAGGGGCGGGGGGAGGGGAGAGGGGGTAGTCCGCCGGAGGGGGGGGGGGGGGGGGGGGGGGAGGAGAGAAAAACAGCGCCCTCTAAATCATTTGCCCTCTAACTCACTCAGCCTATTGTCCTGGTAACTTAAGAAGCTTGCTTAAAGGAGCTGGCTAGATTTGCTAAGTGGGGGGTAGTTCTCCTAGCCAAGTGGGTGTAGGAAAAATATTGTTTACACTTTATAAAGCATCTTCACATATATTGTCATTTAATTCTCACATTAGTCCTGCAGACAGGAGAGCCCTATGGCACTGATGAATGAGCAAGCACAGGACATCAAATGATGGAGTTAACTAGGTGGTGGTAGAGTCATGATTCATCTTCCATTGGCCTATTTTGATGATTCAGAGACAAAAAGTCTACCTCTTCTAGGTGGACTTGCTGAAAGTTGGAAGATGGACACCTAGGTGCTCATCTATCCATAGTCTCTCCCAATTTGGCTTCTTGAATTTTAATCAAACCCAAGAGGTGTCAAGACACAGTTCCTAACTACTAACTGCTGACCCACTAAATAATTTTCTAACCCCAGAGGCACAGTGGAACCTGACAGAGAAGTACTTCTAATAAATAATTTCTGAAATATTTTTCATCTGTGCTTCATGGGGTCCAGGAGAGAGGAAAACACACACACACACACAAACACACACCCACACCCCCACTGATATATTTGCTAAAGCAGATAAATATAGCTGGGAGTAATATCTCTGGTTCTGAAACAGAATACGGGAAAACCAAGCAGATGACTATAAGGGAATGATACCTCAGAATTGTGGATCACTTGATTATTTTCAAAATATTTTAATGTCATCTAGTTGAAAGAACTCACAAATCAAACTTCTAGCCAAGATGCTCTGACTTGATCTCAGAACTGCACCAAGTAAGCCGAAGCTCACAGGCTATTTAGGAAAGGGAATCTGCCCAAAAAAGCTAGTGCCAGTGTTAAATACGATGGAAGCCTCCCAGCTCAACCAGAGACCACCTGCATACAAGTCTTTGTATCCATAAGGCAGCAAGAGCAGAGGGGTCCCATGAGAAAAGCCCAGGGTGATTAGAAACATATAACATGGACCTTTGGATTTGGAGGATTTGGAGCAAAGGCACCTAGACTGTGTTGTGCAGCACAGGCTACACAAGCCCATAGGCTGAGATCTCTCAATCTCTCTCTTGAGTTTAGAACAGAAAGTGGTAAATAACCTCAGCCAGGTAATGGAATCCCTGAAAATTAGGATAGCCCAAAAAGAAATAAATGACAAGAAACATCAGAACAAAACCAAAAGAAGACTTTTAATAATGAGAAAAGTTATCTATTTTTATTTTTTAAAAGCTGATCAGGAAAACATGTTAAGGTACTTTGGCCTCCTTGAAAACCAATTTTTTTTTAAAGCCTGAACACTATATTTTAAGCAATGATAAATGAAAAGTGCTCAAATCTTTAGAACCAGAAGGCAAAGTGAAAACTGAAAGAATCCAATTGTTTTCTGAAAGAAATCTCAAAAGGAAAAATCCCATGAATGTGATAGCCAAAATCCAGAGCTTCCAGGTCAAATTATATTGAAAACAGTCAAAAAAGCAAGGGTTCTAGCATCAAGGAACCAAAGTTAGGGTCATATAAGGCTTGGGAGCTTCTCTTTCAGAGAGCTCTTAGAATACAGTTTTCCAAGAGACAAAAGAGAATAATTTGCTCAACCCTGAAAAACTAAGCATAAACTTACAGGGGAAAAAATAGACCTTTAATGGCATTCTTAATGAAAAACCAGAGTTGAGTAGGAATTTTGAAGTGCAGGGTTAAGTTTATATATGAGCATTTTAAAGGGGCTACAGAATGATGAAGTGCTAACATTCTGATGGGAGAAGAAACAAGTGTTCCTTCAGAACATTCATGAGAGTTAAACAAGACAAATGGAAGAAAACTTGGGGGGCAGCCTGGTAATGTTCTATGGGTTATAAGAGGGAAAAGAAAAGGATAATAAAAGGGATACAAGTGTAGAAAGAAGGCAAAAGGGAGTGGAACTAACGCTCATAATTGGGATGCCTCAGAATATACATACATGGAGAAAGGGTGGGTGGATGCAGACACCAGATGAATCTTTTAACTGAATTGGATAAAGTAAGGTTGAACACACTCATGATTTTGTACAGAAATATATAAAACTTAATGAGCAAAGAAGCAGAGAAAAGGGGGTAAGGGTTAAGCAGGAAAGATCCTATCCTACCCCTATAAGAGGGAGTAGTGGCAATCAAAACAAACTTTAGTTTTGGAGAGTGGATCCTGAAGGGGGTTATGGAAAGGAGAAAAAATTGGAAACTAAGGGGGTATCTATCATCTGGAGAATAGCTAGACAGGCTGTGACATATGAATGGTGTATTGCTGTGCTATAAGAAATGAAGATTTCAGAGAATCCTGGGAATGTGTATGAGCTGCTTTAAGGTGGAGAGAGCAGAAGAATAATTTAGATAAGGACAACACTGCAAAGAAAAACAACTATGAGAGACCTAAAAATCCTAAATTCTAAAGGCTAAACTGATAAGAGCTAACGTGGAGAAAGACATAACATTTTTGGATATGGCCACCATATGGATTTGTTTTGCTTGACTATGCCTATTTCTGTTTATTTCTGTTGGGGTGGGGGGTGGGGGGACAAGATGCAATTATGATGTCAAAGGGGGAAAAAAATCTGGCCACTGAGATGCTTTTAAAACACAGGGAAGGCAAAATTTTACAAAAATGAATGTTGAAAACTATCTTTACATGTAATTGGGGGAAAAAAAAGGCAGAGAGCAGTCAGTCAGTAGCAAGATAAGGTACTCAATTGTTTGTTGCTGAACTAAAATTTTCCACTCAGATTTCTACTCTTTCCTCAGCTTATGCTCTTACCAGAGGCCTTAACCACTGAAAAAAATCAAATGTTCTATTGGAAGCCCAAGAGTTAAGCTGTTATGTTAAAGTATGGACTCTTTCAAGATAATATAACAAGCCAACAACAATCAACTTAATCTTTTGTATTTGGAAGGGAAGCAAGGCAGCACTGATGAAATGATTAATCAAAATGATCTTTAATCAGGCATTTTATAAATACTTTGGTTAATTATGGGCTCACAATAAATACGGGACTACTCTTCCTCTAAGTAACAAATGCTGAAATGTTTTATCTTGAAGAAAACGTAAGACCACATTGATTATCCTTCATGTTCTTTCAGTGTATTTATATTCGAAGAATAAATTAGTTATTTTAACCTTTTAAAAAATAAAATGCAAGGGGCAACTAGGTGGCACAGTGGATAGAGCTCCAGCCTTCGAATCAGGAGGACCTGAGTTCAAATCCAGCCTCAGACACTTGACACTTGGTAGCTGCGTGACCCTAAGCAAGTCACTTATACCCGACTGCCTCACCAAAAAGCAAGAAAAAAATAAAATAAAATAAAATGCATAGAAGGATATTCAGCAGGAAGCACAGACAAAGGAGAACAGCTTTGAAAGTAATGCAAATTTATTATATACATTTTTAAAAAGCAAGCAGTATGGAATAGAGATTCATAGTTTCATATGCAAAAATCCTTACAGAGATACTTTTTTTGGTGTTAAATTCAAAATTTAAAAATTAAAATAATAAAAAAAAAACAACTCATGACTCCAGGTTCTATACCCAGAGCTACCCCCTTTCATCCTAGGTCAGTGACAGAGTAAAGATCAGAACTCCTGGCGTTCCCACTGAACTCAGAGATAAGGAGTGAGGCTAGGAATGGAGAAGGTTGGCTGGAAGCATTTGAGGTCCTTGGCCTCACTTTTCCTAAAGTGCCCTTATTTTCTCTACTTTGGGATCTGGGGCTGACTCAGTCCTATCGCCTATGACTATCTGCCCTCAAACAGTTAAAGAGTCCTAGGACCAGAACAGAGAAAAGATGACAACAGAGTTGGCTGGCTCAGTAAACGCTGGGGGAAAGTTGTAGGGAGACATTGAATCTAGGGCACCAAGCACCAGGGAAAGAATATGACACACAAAGGCATCTCAGATCCCTAGCCCTTTAAATAAGTTCCAACCAGTGGTGATTTTTGGAGGCCTTTCCTTGGTAACTGAAGAATGGGGGCGGGGGAAGGTAGCAGCAAGCTATGAGAAAACAAGAAACAGCTAAAAGTATAGCTCTCACCACAGCATGCCAACCAGGCTCTTGGCTCCCTCCCTACCTCAAAGCACCCAAACAGGCCAGTGAAAGGGCACAGTAAGTGGAGACAAAAAACAAATGGAGAAGGTACAGAATACATGATGACAAGATTTAGGGAGAAAAAAAGCCAAGATGGGAGAAATGGAGATACAGCATATGGAGATCACAGTTTTGGAAACACTAAGTAGTTGTGAGGAGGTGTCCTCCTATGGGTTGCCTTCTCCCTAAAGGAGAAATTCATTGGGCTTCTGCAGTGGAAGCCCTTGATTCATTCTCACCATTTGCCTGGGTGTGTAACCAATTGGAGGAAGGGACTTTGGGGGCTGGCTGTGTACTTATTCTGCTTCCTTGACTTGGACTTGAGGGAAAAGTACCAACATGAGTTTCTTCCTCTCCTGGGGATAACTGCCTATACTGGTGGAGCAGGCCTTTGCAAAAAGAGGGGGGAGGGAGTAAGGAGGAAGCAGAGGGTGGAAAGAGAGATATAAGGGGAGCATGACTTCTGTGTCCCAGGAGGAAGTGACAACAGTTCTTCAGCAGTTAGACTTCCCATCTTCCCCATACCAAAAACAGTGTTAATAGGTATGTTCAGGAGCTGGGCACAGAGAAGAGTTTAAGAGAACATCAACATATGGATTCTGTTCCACAATGAGAATGAGGTGAGAATGATCCTGGCTAGATAAATGACACACAACTGGAGGCATTCTTCCAGAAAACTCCCCCCAATCCACTTCGATAACCAATCTCCCACACCCTCAAGGCTACTGAAGGTTAAACACCTACATACACACACAAATAAAGGGAAACTGAGTAGCAAGTCTTGTCACCCTATCACATTGTCCTAAATATCAAGGTCATAACCCTTTGCCTCATTCTGAACAGAAAGTTTACCCTAAGCAGATATCCATGTCCCCATACAAACAGCTCAGCCCCCAGAGCTGTTGACATAACACAATGGACTAGAAAATATAAGCAGCTGTGTTTGCCTGAGGTGGTTGTCAGGGATATTATGGTAATGCTTTGGTAGTCTGGTTAGATATGGGAAAATTTAACACTAAGGCAATGAGAGCCATCCTCATTTCTGCCCATCTTGTCCTTGGTATAAGAGAAACACCCTTACCTAGTCCTACCCCCCATCTCAACCCACTCTTTGGAGTCACTTTGCCAGAAAGGCCTGTGCTAGTTTATAGATGAAGCTATTGTCTGGACAAAGAAAAAAAAGACCTAAATTAAGCTAATCAGGCAAGTTTGCTAGTATATGAAACCAAGGGACCCAAAAGCCAGACAACAAGAAGCATTTTTTTTCCTTTTTCTTTCAAACCAAAGTTCTTTTCCAACATTGCCTTTAGTGCAAGAATCAAAGTCAGGGCAGAACAGGAAGTGTGAAAAAACAAAGCAGCAATTGCACAAAAATCTCTCCCCTGTGGTAGTCCAGGAGGTAAGGCTGGGAGCGATCTTGGAATGTGGCTAATGGAATGATGGTCAGAGTAGATAAGGAATAACTTTACTACCCATGAATATCAGCAGTTATCTGGTGATTCTTGGGGGCAGAGTGTACAGGAGGATGGCTGTATAGATTATATATATATATATATACACACACACACATATATATGTATATATGTATGTATCCATGTACGTATGTATGTATACATACACATATATGTAGAACAGGCTATATTAGAAAACTTTGTGTTTATAAAACACTGGTATCCAAACATCAAACCAACAGTTAACTAAAGTGCCTGACATGAGTTTGGGAGAAGAGGAAAAGAAGCTAAGGGATTAAACTTTTGCAAACAAAATACTTTTGCAAACAAATGAAAGATAGAAGCAGCTTTGATATGAAGGCTAGGAACCTTTCATCATTGCATGTGTAGATGGGGTGGTTGGGTTGGGAGTTTGTGCAAGAGAGATAAAGGCTTTTTTTTTGGGGGGGGGGCCCAGGGTGGAAGGTGATTAGAAGGTTGCTAAAGTGCTCAGCAATGCAGAAAGAAGCCAGGGAATGAAGGTACTCCAACTCCAGTGCCATTCAACTGTCCTTCCCATGCCTTGGTCTCAGCAGCCATACTTCTCACTGTTTTAGCCAGGAATGGGGCCCTTTAGCATGGAGGGAAAGGTCCTGCTGTGGGTTCAGCTTCCCTTAGCCTCCCAGCAGTTGGTTAGACTAGAGCACTAAGAGGAGGAAATTTGTGTCGGCCTGCATCTATAATAACTTTCTCCACAGGAGAAGGCTTTAGAAGCTGGGAGAATCACATGTGTATGGAGGAGAGGGGAGATAAGAGAAGGAAAAATTTTAGAATAATAAAACACACCTGGGCCAGCCCCCTCTAATAACCACTCCCATGGTTCTCATTGCTCTGGGAGGGGGACTACTGGCCTAGGGGCTAGTGTTTTATTTGCAAGCCCAGAGCAAAGCATTAGCACTTTCATTATCCCCATGATTCCCACCACCTAAAGCAAGGCAAGTCATTCCCCATTTTGGGCTGAGACCACTGTAATGCCAAAAAACAAAGGTGGCCACCTGGGATGTAGGGAACAGAGGGATACTTGAGGGCAGAGGGAGCAGGAAGGATGTCCTCCTGGGCACAGTGCTACAAGAAGGGATTAGTAGGAGGAGGTTTGGAGGCAAATGGGCTTGATGAGGATCCAGTCTAAGGAGAAAAGAACAAAATAAAGAATAATCAGACTTGGGAAGAGGAAATGGGTAGATTCCTGTGTCATTCCCCACCCCCAAACAGTTCCAAGAAGAAGCTGGGGAAAGAAATATAAAGATATAAAGACAGAGGTTTAAAGGTTCAAAGAGACAAACACAAAAGAGGGCTAGAATAGAGGGCCTTGAATCTGACCCGACCGAGGGAAGTAGAAAACACATCACAGTGAGGGGGATTCGTTCCTAATTATGTCTGCTGGCACAGGCCCCTATCCCCAACACACCCACATGAGTAAAAGGTCTTTCCATATCCTCTAGATTTCTTCAAGGCTCAGTCTCTTCTTTCCTTACCATGAACGGGTTAGTAGAGATCCCTGCAGGATGGTTCACAGGCCTTTGTCCCAGTTTGGCTGCTCCTAATCCCACAAAGCCAGAGCCTGAAAGACAAAACAAAACAAAACACAACACAGTTTAGCTGCAATGAATAGTAGCATCAGAACTTAACTAAACAAATGAAGGGAGGGTGATATGAACTTGGACATTCTTTCTCAATTTCCCTGACAGTATGCACAATTCCACATTCCCAGCAGGGATTGGGGGAGGAACTTGAGGGATGTGTATTCCTAGGGTCTCTCACTTGAGGATAGACAGGTTTCATCCCTTCTTTACTCCTCTATGCCTATCCAGGAAGTTGAATTATTCTCTCAAATTCAGCGGCCGAACAGAAAGAAGAAGAATCTTTACCATTCTGCTGCTGAACCAGCAAGGTTTGTGGAGGGAAGAGATTAGGAGAGAAAGTTCCTGGGAAGCCACCCGGGGTCGGTGCAGAAGAGAAGCTAGGAACCACAGTGTTCATCCCCAAACCAAGCCCTGTGGAAACAAAGCAGATGAACTGGAACTGAGAAAGATAGGATTTAGGGCAATTTTACCAAGGCTACACCTGATGAGAGAAATAGGCTTCTCCAGACCAAAAATCAACTCACTGAATTGTCCTGAATGTAATTCTGAAATCTTCTGCTTCCAGATCCACCCTAGGTCCATCGTCACCAACGTTCAAAGGCAGAGGGGCTGGGACTCGGGGTTCCCAAAGAAAGTGCTGTATTCATGTTGTATATAGTTACAGCCTTCTACCTAGGTTTTTAAGGGCTCTCTAATTTCTTCGGGAATTTGGGGGTGGGAGGACTAAGACCACTGGGATTGGGAAAGTCAGAAGAGGGGAGTACAATGGGAGAGTATAAAGGCTATGGCTCTGGCTGAGAAGGTTTAAGGAATTAATATGTTAGGGGAGCCCCAGGATGGGAACAAGAACAGAAATAACTGTATGAAAAAGGGATAGAAAAAAGGCTTCTTAAAAAGATGTTTGGTAGTCTGGAGAAGATAGAATACAAAGAAAGGAAGGCTTACCGGAAGCCAGGCCATTGGATTGGAATGGGTTGGTGGAAGGCAACTGTGGGTGAGGAGCTGGTGCGATGAAAGGGTTGGTGAAAGCTAAATGTTAGGGGAGTACAGGAAGACAGAGTTAGTCTTTTATATATCTAAAATGTTTCCACATTACCCTAGCTCTCTACAAATGGAACTCACCCCCAAATCCAAGTCCAGTGCTGCTGCTGCTGCTGCTATTACTGCCAGAAGCAGCAGTGTGGAGTCCAGAGACATGGCCAACAGTCCCAAAGGCCCTGTGACAGGAAGAGAGAAATTGCATCACTAGTATCAAAGAAATATCCTCCACTATGATGAGCCTTATAAGCATTATTGGTATTGGATGCAATAAAATTGGATGCAAATCCTGGTCCTTTGTCTTCAAAGGTATTAAACAGAAGGCATTGAGAAGAAAAAAGGAAAAAGCTAGGGACCACATGGGACAAGAAGTATCAAGACAAAAAAAAAATCCAATTCAAGGCTTTTTGCTTTTCTTGCTCATGGCTGAGGAACCCACAATCTCAACCCACCTGCTAGGAACACCACCAGCTGACATCCCAGTTCCCAAGACATTGCTCATATCTGAAAGGGCACTTGGCTGGCTGGCAGGAGCAAGAGGAGAGGCACCAAATGGGGTCACCTGGCTGCTGCCTGTAAGAGAAGATTAGACAGGTACAAAAACTTAATAGTCATGAAAGAGAGGTAGAGGAAAAAGGCAGACCTGTCTCTTAGTGTAAGAGGAGATAGTGAGGCTACCCTCTTACTCTTCTATCCCTCCCCTAATCCACCCCAACAAAAAAATCTGAGAATATTGGGTTATACTGTGCTGACATTTCCAGAGATCCAGAAACCTAAACCTCCTTTATTTCTCCAGTGTCCAAGGGATCTTACCCCTAGAGAAGTGATTTTTCTTATGTTATCTCTTTCCTTGCTCCAGTTTCTGCCACATTTTTCCCAGCTCTGACTTCAAAAGACAGTAAAACCTGTGCTTGCCCAACATCCTAATTGTCCTATCTCACTAAAATCAAATCAAATCAAGGGGCAGATATAAAGGAGGTGAGGAGCAGGAGTGAGTCAATAGTGATGAGCTGAGGTTTCTAGATCTGTATCAAATCAAACATCTCAGAAAGGAGTTTTATTACTTGCTCTCCTTTACTGATCTGTGGAATCAGCCTCACCTGGTGATGCCAACAGCTGCAATTGACTGGTTTGGTTGTTCTTTATCAATAATAACAACAACCTATATTTATATAGCACTTTAAAATTTGTAAAGCCTTTTATATACATTATTTCATTTGGGCCTCCCAACCACCCTTTTAGGCAGAGACTACAGGTATTATTTGCTGGTAAAAATCTATGAATAGATTGAAGTAAACCAAATAGCATTTTTGGTTTTACCATCTGGGTTTCACCATCATCTAAAACAAAGGCTCTTAAGCTTTTTGTGTCATGGACCCTTTGGGGAGTCTGATGAAGCCTATGAATTCCCTCTCAGAATGTTTTTAACAGCATAAAATCAAATATGTAAGATTATGAAGGAAGCCAATTATATAGAAACAGTTATTAAAATATTAAAAACAAAGTTCATGGATCCCAGGTTTAAGAAACCTTGATCCAGTGTGTCACATCGAATGGGAACTGGATTTTGGGAGAGGAAAGATAGAGGTGAGCACCAGCATTTGGAAATCCTATGCCCACTAACTAGTATTTCTCAGAATCCAAGGGATCTGGCTGTAGAGGGGCTGCTTCCTATGGAATGAACTGGTACAAATCATCAGGTAAGTATGCTAATATATTTCAACTACTTCTTCCAGAAGAGGCCCATCCTATACATATGTATTCTAAACATCCCTCTGGATAAAGAAAGCTATCCTTCTCTTTAAGCTACCAGGATGAAAACGCAAAGTTTGAAGGGCCTCCCTGAGATCCAATGCTTCTTTGAGTTCCAAGCACTGTGGTCTTGTTAAAAGCCTTAGGTCACTGCATTTGGTGTTTAGCAAGTCACCTATCCTCTGGGCTATCATCTATCTTACTACACAGAAGTCATGACAGCACGTTCACAAATAGGAAAGGCTTTGATCAATTAAAAGCACCATGTATTATTTTATTATAAAACCAGAACTAATGCCATGCTAATTATTGATATAAGGTAGTTGATACTGATATCTCCAGTTTATAAATGGTCAAACTTCTCAAAGCCTCAGTTTCCTTATCTATAAGTTGAAAGGGTTCACTAGAATACAGATTTAGGTCCAGAAGGGATTTAAAGGCAGTCCAAGCCTCTCATTTGATGAATAAGGAAACTGAGTCCTCAAGTGGTGAAGTGACTTGGGCAAGGAATCAAATGCAGATCCTTTGACTGAAATCCAGTCCTCTTTCCACTCTGTCATGCAGCATTTAAGGTCCATCCCTCAATTAACGAATAGAATCACAAAGCCTGTAAGCAACTGAAGCAGGATTTAAACCCTGACCTCCTGAAACAACCATGCCAGGGTGCCTTTCTCATCTCTCTGTTTAAACAATAAGCTCCTTAATTAAGGGAAAGAAATCTGTCATTCCATTTTCATGCCTCATCAATAAGTGCTTACTAAAACATGAGAGGCATCACGGGGCAGGGAACAAAGAACCAGGTAGATAGTCTCTGACACTCTAGCCCTGTAGCACTGGACAAAGTTATTTAACCTTTCAATGCTTTGGGCAACTCTCTAAGATGATAAACTGTAGATAAGGTGCCAACCAGTAAGGGCAAAAAATAATTTTCTCACTTGGGAGTTCCCTATTGCAGTGAAATTAGAGAAGAAAGAAAATAAGCATTTATTAAGTGCTATTATGTGCCAGGTACTGTGATAAGGACTTCACAAATATTATCTGAATTCTCATTCCCATTTTACAGCTGATGAAACTAGGGCAAACAGAAATTAAATGACACACAGCTATTAAGATAATTCACATAGCTAGTAAGTGTCTCAGGTCTTTCTGACTTCAAGCCCAGTGCTCTGAGATACCCAGCTGTCTTAAGCAGACCCAGGCTACATCTAATAATCTTGCCCTTGATGATTCATACTTTAGGTAAAGGTTGAATTAGATCAGGGGTCAGCAAACTTTTGCCGTAAAAAAGGGCCAGATATTTCAAGCTATGCAGATCAAGAGGCAACAATTGAGGATATTATTATGTAAGTACTTATAACAAAAGAGAAAATAAATTTCCACAAATTTTTTGATGAAATTCAAAATAAAATAATAACAACAGTACAAGTTTTTTTAATACAGGTCTACAAATGTGAACAAAATTCTTTCCTGGGGGGATAACATTTCACTTGATTGGGGTTCAAACTTATTATTCCCTATCATCAAAATTGATTGCAAATGTGCATCTGTTAATGCTAATCTTTAATGAGATTTCAGGGATTTCATCTTTGAAAATGTCTTTTCACACCATGACACTATTGCATTGTTGGTGGAGTTGTGAACTGGTCCAACAATTCTAGAGAGCAACTTGGAACTATGCCCAAAAGGCTATAAAACCGTGCATATCCTTTGATCCAGCAATACCACTGCTAGGTCTATGTCCCAAAGACATTAAAAAAAGGGGGGAGGGGGAAGGACCTATTTGTACCAAAATATTTATAGCAGTTCTTTTTGTGGTAACTAAGAATTGGAAATCAAAGGGATGCCCATCAATTGAGGAATGGCTAAATAAGCTGTGGTATATGATTGTAATGGAATATTATTGTGCTATAAGAAATAAGATTTAAGGGGCAGCTAGGCGGCGCAGTGGATAGAGCACCAGCCCTGGAGTCAGGAGGACCTGAGTTCAAATCCGGCCTCAGACACATAACACTCACTAGCTGTGTGACCCTGGGCAAGTCATTTAACCCCACTGCCTTGCCAAACAAAACAAAACAAAACAAACAAAAAAAAAAACCAAGAAATAAGATTTAAGAAAAACCTGGCAAGACTTATATGAACTAATAAAAAGTGAAGTAAGCAGAACTAGGAGACCACTGTACACAGTAACAAGCAATACTGTATGATAAAGAACTGTGAAAGACTTGGCTATTCTCAGCAAAACAATGATCTAAGACAATCCCAAAGGACTAATGATGAAGCATACTATCCACCTCCAGAGAAAGAACCGATATTGTCTGAATACAGACTGAAGCATGCTATTTTTCACTTTCTTTCTTTTTAAAAATTCTATTTGAATCTTTTTGTACAAAATGACTAATATGGATATGTTTTACATGACTGCACATGTATGACCTCTATCTGATTGTCTGGGGGGGGGGAAGGATAGAATTTAGAACTCAAAACTTAAAAAAAAATGTTAAAAATTGTTTTAACATGTAATAGGGGAAAATAAAATATTATATTTATTAAAAACTATCTTTTTCACACAGATAGGTACTGCTAATATTGTTATCAATTCATGATTTTAACTGAGTATATTCATCTCTTGGAAGACATGTATAGAAAGAATTCTATTAGATTCTTCTCTTGATATTTGCCTTTCAGTATGTCATTATATTGCAGATAAATCACTTCCAACTGAAAGTTGATGGAATCTCCTCAACTGCACCGTTAAATGGATTTTGGAACATGGAAATTTCTTTTGCACTTGCATCAAGGTCTAAAAAACACTGCTGGAAATGCAGTTTGTGCTCAAAATATATCCACTGCTATTGTGTGAGAATGGAGATCTCACTTCTTGTTTTAACTTTGGACAGCATGGGAAGTATATAAAACAGCCTGACATTGCTTGTGATTCAAATGATGTTTAGTTGTTGAATTGACTTTACCACAGTAAAACTTTTGCCTTGTAATTTTAGGTTGAATTCATTAAGAAACACATCAGATCTGAAGCAAAAGCTAATTTCCAAAGCCATTCAGTGTTTGGTAATATTGGCTGAGGACAATTCTTTTCATTCTGAAAAACTTCAATCTTGGCCCTAAGCTCAAAAAATTACAAGGCATTTTTTCTCTTTTCTTGTTTTGACAATGATGTGTATGCATTGGTAATTAAAAAAAATTAAATGTCACAGTATGGTGACATGCATAACACTCAAAACACTGTCAAGTTCTGTAGTGCCATGAGCAGCAGTACAAAGTGATAAGAGTGCCACATACAATCTCTGTTGTAACTCCTGAACTCTATCATTGGAGCATAAAAGTAGTCATGGACAAAAAGTAAAAAAAGGAGAGCAGCTGTGTACCAAAAAAACTTTATTTTAGATACTGAAATTTGAATTTCAAATAATTTTAATGTGTCACAAAATATTATTCTTTTGTTCAACCATTAAAAAATGCAAAAATTCATGGGCCACACAAAAACAGAGCAGGCTGGATTTGGCCAGTGGATTATAGTTTGCCCATTTCTGAACTAGATGATTCTTGAAACCCCTTTCAGTCAGAGACCAAACAATAGTAAAAGTAAAAATGAATTTACAGCAGGTAGAGTTCTTCCTAGTTGTTTGAGGGCATGAAATGGTATGTGTCTATGTTGAACCTGACAGCACAATGACATAAACAGGAGTCCAGGTCAAAAAGGGAGGCAGGATTAATGTTCTCTTTTTCTAATTTTCCAGTCTCCTAAGAGAGAAATAGGCTAGTTAGGGGTGTCAAGAGCCCCACCTAGTGGTAAGACTTGCAAT